TTATGTATTATTTCAAGTTTATAATTAAAGAAATATTATTATTTTTTTTTTTGGGCTAAATGCAATACATGCATGGCTTTTATTAATCGATCACAGATTACATAGTCATTACATGAACAGTTTATTAACTGACGCTACCCACCTATTTCTGCCCAAGTACCAACTTTACATCACGTGAATAGGTCTATACTTGGGATTGAAGATCTACTCTTACCAGGTACATGTTAATCTTCTGTAAGTCATTTTTGACAATTACATTGGTTTGGACACATACAGCTGTATCAGAATATTCCGCACTTATATGTACATAATTAAAGAAATATTAATAAAAAAAATTAAATATAATATATAACAAATTTTCTAATAAAAAATCAAAATTTATTAAATTAATTTTAAAGTTATTTATAATAATATACTATAACTTTAATAATGTTATATTTAATATAATTACAAAAAATTAAAATTTTATAATGTTAAAATAGAGAAAAGAGTTAAAAAAAATATTTATTAACTAAAAAATATTTATTTTTTTATATATAATAAAAACTTTACTAATTATATTATTTAAATAATATTTATAAATATTATAGAAATTAAAAAAAACTTATAAAAATAATATAAACTTGTAATTATTAATTTATTTATTTTATTTTGATTTTTTTAGGTAAATAGGTATTCAATGCCATAGTTTTTATTAATATTATATTTGAACTTTATATTTGAATGATCTTATATATGGTCTAGTACAAAAAAGTTGATACACCAATATACAGTACTTATAGTAGAAAATTTTTTTTTGAAATTCATTGACATATTTAAATAAATTGACTTATAAATTAGGTTTTAAGGAATGTATCAGTAGAAATTTATTAAAATATATATATAGACAAAAAAGTTTTACTAGTCATCAATCTCTTTAACTTCGAGATCTTCAAGATCTTCACTATCACTTTTGACCAATAATATATTATCATTTAAATTTTCATATTCTTTGGCTCTCACGTTAGGCAAGGCCTAGCTAGTTGAGTTAAAAAAAAAAAAAAAAAATATTCTTTGGCTCTATCAAGCGATCTTTTCCAAAACCTGAGAATTACTTTATTTATAATCTTTTCATTAAATACATGTAATAATTTGTTTCTAATAGCAAGAAGATTAGGATATGAACCAGTTCTAGCAACTTTACCTTTTACGATTGACCAAATTCCCTCAATCAGTTGAAGCTTACAATGATAAGGTGAAGTATAAAACAAGTTGTGATCATATTTTTTAGCTATTTGAACACATGCAAAAGGTACTTTACTTTTATTTAATTTGACTAACTTATAGAGTTCTGCTTTGCTAGTATTTTCGGGTATATTAACACTAGTCGAGAATAGCCATGTGATCATCGTATCCTTTTTCGAGTTTGACGTTGGCACTTGTTCGCTTCAATGTTTATTATAACGAGCATCATTCATATAGATATCAACCAATCCATAGTATTCCTTAATATTAGAACAAAGTTTATTAAAAGATCTTCAAATATATCAGCTATAAAATTACCATAATAGTTATTATAGTTTATCACTATATTAGAATTTCGAACAATGTTGGAAACATTATCCCAGACATCAGAATTTGCTTGCTTTCTCCCCCTTAATGAAGATGGTTTAATTAATAAATCCCATAATAACAATAAATTAGAAATGATTTCATCAAAAAGTTTGTTAGAGTTATCATTATGCATTACCATTATTGCATCAAAAATCACGATTAACGGACTGCACCTAGGTAAGTATATAACTCCATGGTTGGGCACCCAAGTACGATTTGTAGTGTGGTGCAAATGACAATATGACTCATCTAAAAAGACTTCTGGTCTGATTGGTACTTTGTTTTTCCCCTATAGGTTTTTGAAATAACGTCGTAAATAACAATTACGAAATGCAACATTTTCGAAAGATTTATGTAGTATTTTCGTTATTTACCGTGGCCATAATAATAACCTAAAGTATGAAGTACATGAAGAAGCTGTCCTTTTAAGAGTATATAATCATGCTTTTTTAGTTTTTATTATAATAAATATGTTGAGAGTGGAGAACCAGAAATGTTTGCAGTCATAACAAACCTGTGTATAAGTTCAATAACATTGTAATTAGGACTTTTTCTTGGATATCCTTGTATTTTTTGCTCTGAATATTCTGAGAATTTTTCATTTTTACTACTATTATGTTCAGCAACTACCCATGCAAGGGTTGCCTTATCAATTCCAAGGATCGAAGCAATCTTCTTGCGTAATGGTAAGTCTGGACGTTATATCTGGCACTGTCGAATATTTAAAAAATATTGATGAATGCGAATAATCATTCATTTTTCGTTATTGGTTAAAGAACTTCATTCTCTATCTAGATCCTTTATGGAAAAAGATAAATGATTAAGTTTGTTATAAATATTTAAAGTTCGATATTTTCTTTATATTTTATTTGATTTGTATGTTTAAATGATTTGATTAGCAAATTTTGTACATGTGATGAATTTCAGGTTACAAATTTTATATATCAACTTTTTTGTATCAGACCATATAAAAGAAATATAAACAAGACATATATTTTTCATATATTTTATATTATATTATACTAAAACCGATAATACAACTGGATATGGCAAAAGAATAAAGCATTAAAATATTTTCTTATTAAAAGTGATTTGAATTTTTTTTTTTTTTTTTTTATATTAGTTTTTTTTTTTTTTAAGATTAAAAAAAATTTATATTAAACTGATAATTGATTTTAATGGGTTTTTATTTATTAAAACAAATTTTTTTTCTTTTTCTTTTTATTTTTTATCTTTTAAAATCATAATAATTATATTAAAATAATAGTTAAAAATATTGATTGGTAATAACTTTTTGGTTGAAATTAATAAAACATTTTACTAGAGAAAAACAATTTATTTATTTTCCATAATTTTATCTAAAGAATTAAAAGAATTTAGAAAGTTTAAAATAGTTAATACTATACAATAATAGCTTAATAAACCAACTCCCTTGTAATGAAATAGTTAATAAATAATTAGGTCATATAGGCAATATAATAATCTTAATATTAAAGATTCAAGGATCATATATATATTTATTAGACTTATTGATAAAAGTATTTAGTAATAATACAAAATTGTATTAATATATTTTATTTAAAAAGATTAATAAACATAGTAACTTATAATCTGATTAGAAATAAAAAAATAAAAATAAAAAAAAACTTAATTTTTGTTAAAGTTTAATAAATATTTTACATTTAATACCTGTTTGTAATAAAAAAAGAATTTAATTTTGTTAAATAGTATTAATTATAATATTTTTGAAATATAAATTTTTTATAAAAATTATTTTTATTTGATAATTCCATAATATGGTTATTATTTTACTTTTATTATTATTATTTAATAAACAAATTAATATTAAACTTATTATAGAGAACCTTTTTAAATACATTTTTTTGTAATCATAAAGATTTTTTGAAAACATATATTTAGAAAATAAATTTTATTAAAAGTTTAATATACTTGAAATTAAGCTTGATAGCATATGCGTTTAGAGAGGGTTTTCTGTATACACTTGTATTTAAAAGATTTATTTAAAATTTTTTTTTATATTAAAATATACAAACTATATAATTACAGTATATAAATATTTTAAATAAGCACAGCATTCGACATCAAAAGAGAATTGGGTTAGATCGGGAAAAAACGCGTCTTAGTTATTTTAATAAACAAGATAAATTAACACGTAAATACGCATCAGAAGGATGATCTTATCTGCGTTCGGGTGTGTCGAACAATGGGTCACAGGGAGTAAACAATACGGATAGCAGGGGATGCTTATTTAGTGAAATATCATAATTTGATTAAGTACGTGCTTAAAGTTTTTACACAACGATGCACCTCTTGGTCGAGCAATTACCTGTCACGCTGAATTCCTTCTGTTAGTTACACAGACATAAAGGCCCACATTCGTTTACACTCCGGCCTGTTCCCTTATAATATTCAATCACATATGATATCATAAATTACTTCTACACAATTTTTAAAAGTTTATTGGGTCGGTCAGACAGGCAACGAACCACTTGTTGCTTCCAGAAACTGATAATTCATTTTCCCCTAGGACTTAATCATGATATAAATAATAATAACGCATTACATATTTCAGTGTAACGATTCAGATTTTCTTAATAAATCAGAAGCTTTCAATTTAATCTGTGCAACTAATGTCGTTGTTAGCAGGACGAGGACGATCTTCTATATTCAGATTATAAGTTGCGGATAGAAGGCCAAGGATGAATTATTTTTCTTTCTATCTTCTTTTTATTGTTTTCTCTGTTTTTCTGTAGTCGACGGAAAACTATAACTGATCTTGCTAGCAAATTCCAGAAATGGTAAATTTAATAAATCTGGTCAAATGTGAAGCCCATTTGCTGGGGTGACGGTAGGCTTCAACACGAATCGATAGTAGCTGTTAGTTCGCATAAACTTGAAGCCAGTATTTCAATATAAAAGTCATTGTCTAGTTACACGAGCCGGAGGTCTCGGTCAAATTTGGAAATTTAGTTTTACGATGAATGCAGCTCATCAAGTTCACTATCACATCATAAAAAAAAAAATAAAAAAATCCAATATTGTAACTTTTTGACTACTCGACTACGTCTTATTATCTTCAATATCAAGCAGACCTACATATAAACAAATTTTCTTTTTCTTTTTTTTTTTTTCTTTACTTTCTCTTCTCCCAAACTTTCACCTCTGACCTTTTTCTATCGACGTGCGAGCTTTCTTCAAACTCCTTGTAAACACCATTCATTAATATTTGTTCGTCCACCGAACTCTTTTCTCCGTGCGCACTTTACACCATCCCGAAAGGAACATCGACATACGAGAATTAATATCTTTTTTTACTTTTTTCCGAGGCTAACCTCTATAGTGCGGCGTGTATTGACCTTCAAAAGAACTCTATACCCTCTCATAAAATGGTTCAGCCGCAAAGTCAGAAAAATAATAACGGTGAACCTTATGGTCACTGCGGCTATTCGCCGACGCTAATGTATTCACTCTCAGAAAAGACCTCTTCGGGGAATTTTTCATGTAACCCTTCATACAAACAGGGAAACGGTTCGATAAATACGAACAACAATGCCTATTATCGCAACCACCGTTTTTTAAATAACAATCAGTCGCAAGAGCAGGACTCTTATTCCATCGCGGACGGTGATTCTCAGCAAAAAAAAGAGGAAGATTCACAAGATCATAACGCCTCGACAACTGAATTTGATGATAATGCGTCAACCACAAAAAAAAGTCTTGCTGCGACTCTACAATATGGCCAAAATAATCATCCAATTACACTTCCTCCTCGTTCTGAAGATAGTCTATGTGTAGATATGCTCGTTATGTTTGAGGTTTGAGTCAAATTGAATTGATCTCAAGTTAGGAGGTTCATGAGATCTCTTTCTAATTAAACTTGCCCTAATTCAGGCGCTACTTCCCACAAAGGAAAGTTTTGAAAAAAGAAAGCAGTTTGTCGATAAAATCGAAAGAATATTGAACGAAGAATGGCCCGGGCATGATATAAAAGTTCATTTGTTCGGGTAAATTTAGATTTAAATTTATTCGCTGTTAGTTTAAATACGAATTAAGCTTGGAGTTTTTCCCTGCGACAATTTAATAGCATACATATATTTTAGATCGTCAGTGAACCTCCTCGGAACATCCAATTCGGACGTAGATATATGCGTTACAACACCTTGGAGTGGGTTAAGGAATGTAGTCATCTTAGGTAAAGGGATGAAAAAACGTAAGTTGCATTACATAAATCACCTTAGGCCAATGGCTAATTGGAAACATGCGTCTTAATGTGTCATTTCTTGTTAATTAGATGGAATGCAAAGGATTTATTGTGTTCCTAAAGCCAAAGTACCTATTGTTAGACTTTGGGATCCTGACCTGTAAATATGACTTAATGCTTATGTTTATGTTTATTGATTGTGCTGATTATACGGTCTTTCTTTCTTTCTTTTTTCTTTTTTCCTCCCTGCATTCTAATATTTCTTTTCTTTTCCCAAATTTACCAGAAATCTATATTGCGATATCAACGTCAATAATACCTTGGCCCTACATAATACTCGTCTGATAAAGACCTATGTTGAAATTGATCCGAGAGTTCGACCATTGGCAATGGTGATAAAGTATTGGGCGAAGCGGAGGGTTTTGAATGATGCAGGTATGACTCGGCTCTTTGCTGGCGTGTGATATGGTATCTATCGACAAATAGTTTTGCCGAGGTATCATTCCATTTTAAATAAACACATTTTTTCATTCATCATCTGTGTAAAAGCTAAGGGTGGTACTCTGTCGACGTATACTTGGACGTGCATGATTTTGAATTTTCTTCAAATGCGCGAACCGCCGATATTACCGGTGCTTCACCAGATACCCCACAAAGGAGAACCCATAATGGTGAATGGAATCGATGCATCTTTTTATGAAGATGTGGAATCTCTGAGAGGATTTGGCGAGAGTAACAAAGAAACTGTAGGTGGGCTATTATTTGCGTTCTTCAGACGGTGAGCCCAAAATTCCGTTATCTTAAACGCATTCCTGTATTGTGCTTGTTGACCTGATTAACCATAATTTATTTTGCACACAGGTTTGCTTATGAATTCGATTATGATCATAATGTAATATCACTTCGTCAGGGAAAATACCTTACCAAAGAAGAAAAAGGTTGGGGTGAAACCGGTAAAGGTTGGCGACTTTTATGTGTCGAGGAACCTTTCAATACTTCGAGGAACCTTGGTAATAGTGCCGATGATACTAGCGTTCAGGGTTTAAGAGAGGAATTCCGTAGGGCTTTTAAGATTCTTTATGAAAAAGTTGACCTAGATTTATGTTGCGTGCAATACACATTCCCAAATAATTATCATTATAATGCCAACAACTGTTATTACAACAGCAACAATAACTACAACAATAACTACAACAATAATTACAACAATAACTACAACAATAACTACAACAATAACTATAACAATAACTATAACAATAACTACAACAATAACTACAACAATAACTACAACAATAACGCCAATCACACCAATGGTAATTATAACAACAACAACTATAGATCTAGGACGAGCGGAACATGTCAGTTCAGGCAAGGTGCTAAAAGATCAAACTATTTCAAGCACAATCAAAATTTTCGCTCTAATGGTTTTCACAGGCAACAAAATGTTGAAGTTGACACCAACAATGATTATAAAGATGAAACTGATGATACTAATAAAGGCGAACAAATTTTTTCAGACATTTCTTCTCATCAGAGGAACGAACAATTGAATCAAGTTCCCGTTTTTTCAGAAAATCATAACTCCTATTATCAACGAAGTTCAAATCTTGAGGATGCTTTAAATAAGAAATCTTGTTCCCCTGAGCCGAATAATGACTCCGTATCAGAGGTGAACTCAACATCTAGCACTAATAATCACCTTGAGATGCCGTCGCCTGTTCCAAGTCAGGATAATGCCATTGAATCTAGTGAGGTCATCGCATGCAGGTCCAATCAAAAGTCCGTTACTGAGCTGAGTCAGAGTGGTCGCCATAACTCGATGAATAACAAGATGGTATCTCATTCAAATCAGAAAATGGCGTATGCAACAAACCAAAAGCACATTGGTCAATCTAATAAGCAGTCATATAACCATTCATCGAACCATAAGTCCACAAATGGATCAAATCGACCTAATCGTAATTCTGATCAAAGGTTCGTTCGTGAGGCTAGACCAAATTTTGCCCACATTTCAAATTCAATTGTGACACCTCCCACTTCTCAAAAAGAGTCAGCAGGCAGTCCTACACTCGATGGTCAACCTAACCAGGCTTCGAATGTCAAATCCGAACAAAATAATCATAAGCCTACGCATTTAAAATTTTCTCGGACATGCACAAAATCTACCGACGAGAATAGTTGCAAGACCTACAGTTATAATGGAGTAAAAGTTGATGGGAATGGTGCTTCGGTCATTCCTTCATATTCAACACCCAATATTAGTAAAAATGACAACTCTGTCCCGATAATATTTGATTCGAATTTGTTGTGTTCTAACACGGTCAACAGATTCTTCCCTTCGGGAGCCACATCGATATTCTCTCAGAATCACACGAGAGATGACAACTCAGCCACCTTTCAACGACGACTGTCTCATCAATCTTCGTCGGACGGCTCAAATAGTCATACGAGTGTTAACAGTAGTAACACAAGCTATAGTAATAACAGTTATCAGCATTACAACACTTCAAACAAGCCCCAGGACAATTACCATTTGAGTCAACATCAAAATAATGTAGCTAATGGTGGCGGAAAAAAGAAACGCTATAATAATAATAATAATAATAATAATACCAATAATAGTAATAATAATAATAATAGTGTGAATAATTCGGACGATAATGGATGTAACAACAATCACATTTGTCGTAATTCGCTGACCAATCAATCAAGTCCTGTTATGGTGTTCTCACCTTCGTTGACAATCGGTAACAATTATACTATTCCCACTGCACCAAGTGGAAATATATTATCAAATTACGCGTCACCCCGGTTAAATCAGCAGCGACATCAAATCTCGAAAGGCGAAGTTAACAACGGCGTCAATAATGGTAATTCGACGTATAATTCAGTCGCCAGTCGAAATCTTCTTAATAATCAAAAATCGACGAGTAACATAAATTCGAATAACTTGAATCATTCCGGCGGTCCCAAGACGAACGGTAGCAGGGATAATAATGGACATTACTCGAACAATACGAAAATCCAGGCTGGAACTCACAGTGACAATCGTTCCAACGGCCCAAAGGTTTTGTATAGCAACAATATGGGTCAAGGAAATTATTCCAATGTAATGACCGTTAACGGTTCGAACCATGATAATTACTCTCATGGTTCAAAGTCAATAAACAATGGATATCAAAATAAGGATCACGTCAATGGCCCAAAGAACAATGGTAACGCTAACTACACGAATAATGGCCATTATTTGGGTGGTCAAAGGTCTATGAATGGTATTTGTCAGAACAATTGTTTTGTTAATAACTTAAAGATGACAAATGGTAACTACCAAAATATCGATAATCATATGCAATGTCCAAAAGGCTCTGCGAATTGTGGTTACCCCGACGATGAAAAAAATTCTCCTATCAGAATAAGCGAATTCAACTACTCCAATGGCTGCAATTATTCTGACATTCTAAAATCGACGAAGGGAAACAACTTTAACGTCAACTACGCTAACGTGGCGGCCAAGGCCACGAATGTTTCCAACAATTCCAATAACAGTCACAGCGCCGGAAGGTCCAGTAACAATGTCAGTCGTACAACGATCGAAAATATCACCTCAACAAATCACGCAAACGATCAAAATTATAATAACGTAGCCAGGAACGCAAATAACATTAAGTTTAGTTCATTCAAGAACATTGACGGAAATAATTCTAATACGCCGAAAAACCTTGATGAAAGTGGATCCAATACATCAAAGGTTGTTAGCGCCAATAATTATAGTGCACCCAAGAATGCGAATGTCAACGCTAACAATGGTAATATCAATGCGAGTAATCAGCGGAATAATAATCAACCCAATCGTAAAAATCGTAAGAAACGTGCCCAGAACGCCACGGTTAAAAAGGACGAAATCAATTTTCAGCAGCAAATCCAAACATTTCAGCCTGTGTCACCATCACAGCAGCAGCAGTCTTCGTCACAACCGAAAAGCGGTCAAAACAACAACAATAATAATGGGAGAAAAGTCGGGCCACGAAAATCAAATGTATATCAAAATCCGATTGACATTAGCGCTACTGTCGCAGTCACTGGTGCACGATAAGATACTCCTGCAAAGAGAAAGTGACTCGATTAGTTAATGAATGTGAGGTCGTCTCAATCTTCAAGTTGGGAGGGAAGAAAAAATTTTTTACATATATATATATATATAGATTTTATTTTTTATTTTTTTTCTTTTCCGAGAAAAAAGATCCATGTAATTTATTTTATTTTATTTTTATTTTATTTTATTAGAATTCTTTTTTCTCCGGATAACTGTAATTTTTTATATTACAATTGCGTTATTATATATACATTTTTCTTTATTGGGTTGGGTATAAATAAGAAATGTAAAGTCTTTTCTTTTTATCTTTTTTCTTTTTAATATACTTTACTAAACTAAAAAAACTTCGCAAGTTTCATATACATAATAGTTTTGTAATATTTTATTTCAGAAAAAAAAAAAAAATCAAAAATTAACATTCTATTTATTTTATGTATATTTCATTTACATTTCATTTCGAGATACGTTGTAGTAGTGCAGTAATGTGTGCGAGCGGGGTAAGTAGTGGTAAAGAGACTAATAACTAGAAAATAGATCAGCCGAGTTTCGTGTTACGCAATGAATTATTTTTATTTCTTAGCATATTTACCTCATCCTTTTGCATGGAACTCTAAATGTTCAGTATATTTTATCTTGAAGATGTTAATATGTACTTAGAACTTAAAGAGATAGATCATTTATATAAATAAATATATAATAATATATAATAATTTGTATATAATTTCTTTATCCGTATAATAACTGTGATCATTGTAATTATCACATTAATTAAAAAGTCTTCACGTGTGATGAGAAGGTTTTCTTAGTAATTCTCTTGGTATGATCTCGGAATCCAATTACAAATTTGATAATATGGATGGAAGTCGAGTTTCTATGAAAACCTCACCTGTTTCTTAACTTTAATGGAAATAGTGATCACATTGCTTCTTCATACTACATTAATGTCGAAATTAATGACTTCATTTATGATAGTTATGCATGTTTATTTAAATCTTAATTGGTTTAAATAATATCTGATGTTACAAAAATGACAAAAAATGATACAATTGTAAGAACAAAAGATACGTACATTAATATATGTAATGTTATAAATAATTCCTATTGATATAATATATTATTGTTATTGTCACGAATTTATTAAAAACCTTTAAAGCATTATACTGTCGATATATAAATATGATTTTATGTAAATTAAAAAAATGTAATTTGAATTTTGCCAAAATATTAAAAATCCAATTTTTGAATTTGTTAAATACAATTAATTTTTTTTAAATAACTTTTGTTGGAATTTTAATTTTAATATAAATTTAAAGGAACATACAATATATTTAAAATTAATTAAAAATAATAAAATTATTTTATTTATGATAATAATAAATACAATATTATCCAATTTACTATATTATAATATTTAGTTTAAAAAAACAAAATAATTTAGAAATAAATTTAAAAAATTTTACACAATTACATAAGCAAATTTTTAAATTAAAATTAATTAAGATATTGTTTCAAGAATTTTGAATAATTTTTAAAAATATTTTATTAGAATAATATTTAAAACCCATATTAATAAAATAATTAATAATTGAAATCTAATTTTTTGTAAAATTTTTAAATATATTTAAAATATAATACAATTTAAAAAAAATTAAAATATGTGACTTTATAATAAATATATAATTAAAATAATAATTGGAAATTTTTTTAAAAAATCAATAATTATATATATAACTATATATAATATAAACAAATCAATTTTAAAAAAACTTTTTTTATTGATTTTCTTGTCAATCCAAAAAACAAATGTTTCAAAAAATTTTATATTTTTTTATAATAAAGTCTATACATTTTTCTTAATAATATTAATATTTATAGACTTTAATTTTCTTTTACTTGTTTTCTTTTTTTTTTGAAATAAATTTTTTGTTTTAACAAATAAGTACAAGAAAAATCTATTTATAAAATTAATGGCAAGAATATTTTATTAGAAAAAAAAACTTGCTAAAAAAATATCTTTTATTTTTTTTTCAGAAATTCAAGATTTTAAAAAAAATAAACTTGACTTTGAAATTCTATTATTTTTCTTAAAACTTTTTTTTATTTCTTTAAACATATAAACTTTTTTTAAATATTTTTGAAAAATTTTGCCTATCTCAATTTAATTTTGAATTTTTAAATAATAATTAACTAAAAATTTGAATTAGTTAATTAACAAGTAGTAAGAAATATAAACAAAAAATATAATCTTTATATATTTTATTTTATATAATATAATATTTGATAATATAATTTATTCAAATGAAAAGAATAAAGTAATAAGATATTTATTTTGTAAAGAAATAATTTAATATATTTTTTTTCTTTTATACTGAATTTGTTTTTTTTCAAAATTGAAAAAAGATCTTATTTTTAAAAAAAACTTTTTTTTTACTTATCTCACTTTGTCAAAAAATTTCCTTTTATAGAAATTTTTTCTTTTTTTTTTCTTTTTTTTCACTTACTTTAAATATAGCTTATGTAAAGCAATAGTCTGAGACAAAGAAAAAGAAGGTTAAAAGAAGCCAATCTTTTTACCTGTAAAACTTTATATACATCTGATCATTTATATACCTTAGTACAATAGTTTTTACTTTTTTATTACTCTTTTATTTTTCCTTTCTCTTATTCAATTTTTTTTTTGCCAATAAACAGTTTTTTTCTTTCTTGAAGGTTTTTTTTCTAAACTTCACTTTCTTTTCTTATAAGCCATATTATTAACACTTAAGCTTTACAAGATACTATCTTAATCAAATATAATATCTTTCTTAAGGTTGAGTAAGTTATAGACAAAAGAGTATAAATCCTTTTTTCAAGTCTTAAATCTCTCACTTAAAAATATTTAATCTAGAAAAAGTAATAGCAAAATATTCCGATTGAGAGGTTTTAAATAGTCAGGTGTACCTTTCTATAATCATTGGACAATTATCAAGCTCTCAATATATAAACATAGGTTGCTATTGGTGATATCCTGTAAGCAATCAAAACCAAGTGCATATAATTTTTGCATGACTAAGTTCTAACCTGCCTATTACAGATTGATCAGAAATATTTTTTTGAAGAAGTATTCTTACTTCATATCTTGTTTTACTATTGACATCACTTTAAAAGAAGTTTTATGAAAGTATTCTTTTGTTATATCCATCACTTTCTAATATTATTAAAAATCATGATTAGCTTATCTCCTCAAAAATCAGTACAAGATAATCATGTCATATTGGGATCCAAGTTTCTAATATGGACAAAACCTATGACTACAGAATTTGTTAAGAACTGGTTTTAAGATTCAGTAGTAAATACAAAACCTGGTTTGAATAAGCCACATAAGTTATACACACTATCAAATATATAAATTATATTTCTCCAATGTATATCTAGCAAGTGTATATGTATGGCATATAATATAACTAGTAGCTAGTTATTATTTGCTTATTTTCTCTTTTCCTATAAAGTTTTTCAAAGTTAGTATATGACACCTGATAGTTTTAACAAGCATTAATTATTTATTGTGTAAATGATTATTAATGTATTAGTAATAATGAAATATTTAATAAAATCTATACATTTATTGCTTGTTAAAAAAAAAAAAAATCTTATTTTAGATTTAATAATAAGTCTTTTCTATTGCTAATTATTTTAAAAATTATTGGAAAAAGAAAACTTGAAATTATTTACTAATTGAATAAAGCTATAAATTCAAAAAAAACCAACTTTAAAAAAAATCAACAATAAAAAATCAAATTTTTTCTAAATAAGAAATTTTCAAGTATAAAGTTTTAAGAAATACTTTTCTGGAAATATTCTTAAATATTCTTGATTAACAATAGGAATAGTAGAAATTAAATAAGTTTCCAGCTATAAACAATTGGACTTGTGATTGATTTAGAAATGTTTTTATTTATTAGTATAAACTTTTCAACTTTACATTTCTTTTTTAAATTTTTTTTAAAAAAAAAATAATTTTTATTTCTATAGAATCACAATAATTGTGTAAGAATAACAATCTCAAATAAGAGCTGATTGTAATATTTTAAAATAAACAAAATATTTTTTAAATTAAGCAATTTTTTTATTTTTTTAATTATATTTGGAAATTATTGATTATTGATAAGTATATTGTATAATATTAAATAGTTTATATACTTGTATATTGGTTTTTATTTAAGATTAATAAATTAAAATGGTATATAATTTAATTTGAAGTAAAATAATAATAATAATAATAAACAAATAAATAAACTAATTTTTTTCACAAAATAAAATTTAATATATTTATTATTATTAGTTTATATTATTAAATAGTTTTTTTTAGTGTTAAAATTAATTTAATTATTTTTAATATTTTTTTATATATTAAAGTGAAGCATTGCTTGTTACTTTTATTAATATAATAAAGTTTAACTAATTATATAATTAATATTAAAATATAAGTTATATTATTATAAATATTAGCTTATTATTTATTGAACAAACATATTATTAGAAAAATCTTGAGACAAGAAAAATCTGAAGAACTGTTTATTATAAAAATAAAAATAAAAAAATATTCTAAACAATATCACTATTTAAAAGGGTTTTAAAGAAAGTATAAAGTTGATAAATATAATTGTAACAATATTTTAATTATAATGATTCTTAAATATATTTTTTTTTAATCCTGCAATCAGGTTGGTATCGTTTATTTATTTAATCATAAAGAACCATTACAAGTTAAGAATCCATGTAAAGTATAAATTTCCTCGACCCAACTC